CAGATTAAGAATCTACAGTTCTTAGCAATTACTTTTTAAAAAAAAGTTCTCAATACAACTTAGAGCAAAATATTATTATAATTTTAGGATAATATTTTACATATAAAATATAATAATAATATTATTATTTATATATATTTACACACACACACACACACATATATATATATATATATATATATATATATATATATATATATAGTTGTAGTTGCGGTTGATGTAAAATTACTGAATTAAAATTTATACTACTAATAAATATTTTTTTCGTTTGGTAAAACCAATGTTCATGCACATGTGCATGAAACTCAGAGTTGTACTAAACGGAGAGGATATATATATATATATATACATATATATGTGTGTGTGTGTGTGTGCATACATATAGAAAGAGAGTGAGATTAAGCGAGAGAAACAGATAGGTTGATAGATAGGAGACTCTTTTTCAGAAGTCAGTAAGTCGGGACATAGTTAAATTATTATTATTATTAAGTAATGTGTACCTTTTCTACTTCTCGGCATTTCATGTCATTATGGGAATCACTCATCCAAATTTACGCACACCTGTATATATATATATATATATATATATATATATATATATATATATATATATCGTAGTCCTGGGTATGACGATAAACTACATCCAGCATCAAGGCATCTGTTCGGGTGATTGGAAGTTTTGGGGAGCGTGTAACCAGCAGGTTTACTCTGAGGCGGGGTTGTAGCACCTGTTAGGGTTTCAGCTATGGGAAAATAGTGAACCCCAAGCAAAACAAAACACTATGAAAGTATAAAAATACATTTTTGTAGTAAAAATACCAGCAATACATTATTATATAATAAATTACCAACAATACATATTTATAGTAAAAGTAACTATTTATAGTCAAATTGCTAACAATACATTTTATTTGTAATTGAAGGCATACAATTACGTTAAAAATATATTTAATTGAAATTTTTAAAAAATTATGTTCGAAATATTTAGATTTCGACGTGAAATAATTCATAGAGATTGATATGCCGCTAAACAAGATCAACCAATATATATATATATATATATATATATATATATATATATATATATAACAGTGTTTATATCAATGCTTGAATCAATTTCTAAGGCTATGAGAGGGGTCGGCTGGGTAAAAGAAGACGTCGCTCGTGTGGGGTACAATTCTATTGAAAATATATTTTCGGAAAGTGAGAGCAACGCTATATTGAGTCTTGTTTATCACCTCTATCAGTTGGTATGTCGCTTGAGCCGTATCTTAACTGTCCGGGTTCGATTCTCGGTAGTGGAATACGCACTGCTGATGAGTCCCAAATAGGACGAAACGGCCGTCATGTGCTTTCTGCATTCTGCTGAGGATTCTTCTAGACTCGATGAATTAATTGTATGTATATATATATATATATATATGTATATATATATATATATATATATATGTGTGTGTGTGTGTGTGTGTGTGCGTGCGTGTGTACCTGTGTGTCTACGTAGTCTAATGAAATTATACAGTGAAAATTTCAGATCAAATTTCAGTTTCTTATATATAGATGTACTTGATACTAATTATACTTAATAAAAATGTATTGATTCTTCTTTTGTTCATAAAAAAATTGACAGGTGATATTTCTATACGCTTATGATTAACCGAAGGAACAAGTTTTATTTCTTTATGAAAGTGTAAAAATGCATTGTTATAGTAAAAATACCAGCAATACATTATTATATAATAAATTACCACAATACATATTTATAATAAAATTACCTACAGTAACTATTTATAGTCAAATTACTAACAATACATTTTATCTGTAATTGAAGGCATAAACATTCAATGAAAAAAAAAAAGAATATTTATATAGTAAAGAATAAAGAGAACAAATAAAAAAGTAGATATTTCTACAATATTCCTTGTTGTAACATTCCGGGTGATGGCGGTCTTCTCATAGTAGTATCGTATAAACCATGAAAAAGTACCACACCTATGCAAATACTTACAAAATAAAAACAATAAAAAATAGTGCTATTCTTGATGCAATCTTACGACATCACGAAAAGACAAATAAATTTGACTTTGAAAGAAAAACGATACAAATAGATAAAAAGAAAAAATAAAGAATAAACCGAATACAAAGAAAAATGAAAGAGGAATCTAGCTAGTAAGTTAGATTTTAAGTGCCATGCATCTTCTTTCTTTATAGGCGCAACACAATCTTCCTATCTTCACCTACTTTCAGTTAATCTTGTGGCTTGCTAAACTAGACTTTAATACTTATTTTTTAGGAGAAATGCCTAGTGAAATAGGCTAATCTAAAGAAAAAAAGAAAAGACGTCAAGAAGAAGGAGTAGAGCTGAAAAGGAAGAAGCAAAATTGAAGAAAGAAAAGAGAAAAAGAAAAGAAAGAGGGTGGAAAGGTGAAGAAAAAGAAAAATAATGAAAAGAAAAGAAAGGAACAAGAGTAAAGTAAAGAAAAAAAGAAATAGGAATTTTGGATAAAAAAAGAAATATGATTTGAAGGAAATATGTAAAATAAATACGACGAAAAATGTTTTCTGCCAACACTTTCTCATTTCAACATTACTTTAGCATAAGAACCTCCACTGAATCGCTAAAAATGAGCATACATAATGAAAAAATGCCCCAAACTTAATAAAAACAAAGTTTTATTGTCAAAATCTTTATGCTATTATTAAATGGAAAGACCAAAGGAGTTTTTTATTATTAAATTATATTTTAGGTCCTTTCTAGAACATTCTTGTGTCAGTGGAGGAGCCAAAGATTAACCCAGGATATTTTAGCGTCTTTTCCATTTTTTTTTTTTTTTTTTTTTTTTTCGGTGAAAAACACACTGATTTGGAAATTCTCGCAAAAATCAAATAACTGTCAGATTTTAATGAAACTTCCAGGACTTAGTTACAAATGAGAGAAATTATATTAGAACTCTCCCTTTCTTTAGAAATTCTTGGAGAACAGGACCCCCAGTTATCGTAAAATAAAAAAATGCTATAACACTAATATATTATTTAATTAGAAAAGCTTTTAATTGCTTTTATGAATAAGATATATTATGATCACAATTGTCTTAAGAAAAAAAATTTTCGATGAATAATGAATTTTTATAAGAATTCGTTTTCATTTTTTAAAACTTTAATTAAACAATTTATAAATCTTTTAGATTTCTGTATTAATCTGTACCAGTTAATTGATATTGTTATTATGTAAAACTATATTTACTATCAAAAAATAAAATCTTACAATTCATTGATATTTTAAACAGAATTCTGAATTTTTTTTGTTTGTGCATAAGCGTGCCAATTTTTGTAAATACGGATGACCATACACGACATTATCAGAAAATAAGAGCGATAACTATAATAAATTTAAAGCTAAACTACCTAAGATTCAATAAGGCATTAGACTATGGAGAATATTTTCCTAAATTTTTAGGATTACTGGTTAGTTAAAAATTATATAAAAAGCGCTCACGTTATATTCCTCAAATATTTTTTACAGTTATTTGCACGTAGAAAAAAATTAGGTAATCTTCCGGCTATCAGTAGTGTTGTCGACCTGTCAACACCTTAAATAAACTCTGTATTAAACTCTGTGTTAAAAATGCATGTATGCAATATTTTAAGCTAAAAGTAAATAATATTTGTTTAAAATCAGATTAATTAAATTTTAAATCAACTAATATTCCTCAAATAAACTTTTACAAATGTATGTTTTATTTTTGAAAGATTTTTTAATAAAGAAATTTACGTTGTGCTGACAGATGGCTAAAAATGGCGCTAAAATAAGCGATTTTTAGCGATTAAAAAAAGAAACTCATTCCAGTCAATTTAAATTAGTTTTGAAATACATCAAAGTATTTTGCTTATTGGAAATATTAATTTTAATCTATTAGCATGAAATTAAATCTAAAATAAAATCTTCAAGAAAGATTTTTGATTTAAAAAAATCATTTTTAACCTTAGGTATCACGTTTCCTTAGATATACCTACACTAGCACCATCCGACTATTTTTTTTTTTTTGTTTTTTCTTTTTACTAACTTCCTGATTCTCATCCGATACACCATCTGCCGTAAATTCCACAAAATCGGTCAGAATAAAGAGAAACGCTTTGAAGACTAAAAAAGAAAAATTATTACATAAATAAGAGATTTTTTTACAATATTTCATATTGCAAAGCTACTATAATTCAAACAATATCGCAGATTTCTCATATTACCAATATTTGGAAAACAAATATAAAAACGTTGGCGATTTGACTAAAACGAAAAAATGAAGAAAAAAAAAAAGTTTCCAATCGCATGACTTATAAATAAATTTTACCGTCTGTAAAGGAGAGAAAAACGGAATTTTATTGTCTCTGCGTTCAAACTGTTCAAACATTTTAAAATTGACGTGTCTTAAAATATATTTATCAGTATCGACGAATCAACAAGAAGCTCAACAACATATTTAATTAAATTTTGAACATTTGAGCTGCATTTTTATTGAATTTGCCAAAAGTAGTCAACATATAAACATGTCACAATGAAAAAAATAATAATCCAAAAAGGTTAATTATCCATATAATACCGATATTAACTCGTCGTATATATGAATACATTCAAATTTAGGTCTGTTTGGGACATTAAGGCATATTTTAATGATTAAACAAAAAATATCCTTGAAATTGTAACAATGAAGTTTTTTTGGTCATTTATCGTTTTTCTTTTGATGGTTTGTTATGCTGTCTATCAATAGAGTTCAATTTTTGGGTAAGGTTTTTTTTGTTTTTTTATCAGTAAGTCCTTTCTTTAATTTTCCCAAAGCTTTATTCCTAATACCCTTGAAAGTTTTAAAATGACTGAAGAAAGAATGGAAGTTGATATTCTATCTGAATGAGACAAAGGCAAGTCGAAGAATGAGAAAAAGTGGGGATAAAGGACGATGCGGAGAAAACATTTATATAGTTTCTCGCTTGACTTATATCTTCAAACAGACTTTAAGAACATCAAAAGAAGTCGTTCACACTTTGGACCGAGAAAAAAAATATCAAAGTCGAGAGAAAAAAAGCAAAGAAGGAAAATAAAAAAGAAATATAATTGAAGAAATGAAGTAGAAAAACAATAATGGAAGAATGAAAAATTACTGAATAAGAAGAAACAAGAGGAATTAATAAATAAAAAGAAAGAAATGCTTAAATCAAATGAAAAATATGAACGAATAAAAGCAGAAATGAAACAAACTTAAATAAATGAGAAAAAGGAAGGAAAAATTAGTAAATAGAAAGAAAGAGTTTAAATCAAACGAAAAATAAGTGTGAAAAAAGAAGGAATAAAAAGAATGATTCATGAATGAGACAAAAGAAAGAAAAAAACAAGAAAGATTTTAAATCAAATAAAAAATATGTAGGAATAATGGTAGGAATGAAAAATGAAAAAAATTAATGAATGCAACAAAAGAAAAGAAAATAGTAAATAAAGGGGAATAAAAGATAAAAAAGAAAGAACTTTAAATCAAATAACAATTTATGAATAAAAGCAGGAATGAAAGAAATATAAAATAATGAATGAAACAAAGTAACTAAAAATAAATAAGGAAAGAAAAAGAACGAAAGAAGGAAAGCATTAAATGAAAAATTAATGAATGAAAACTTGAACGAAAATAAACTGTAGTAAGAAATTAATGAATGAAAGCTTGAACGAAAATAAACTGTAGTAAGAAATTAATGAATGAAAGCTTGAACGAAAATAAACTGTAGTAAGAAATTAATGAATGAAAGAATAAAAGAATCAATAGGAAAGAACATGAACTAATGATTTATGAATATATATATATGGAGTAATGGATAGCGGCTTGGATTGAGGAATCGCAGAGCCGAGTTCGAATTCCAGTCGAATCCATTACATTCACTTACGTGCTAATACCCTTGGGAAAGGTATGAATCCTCTTCCTCTCCCTCCAGCTATGGGTAAAATAGCAGGACAGACTGGGTTCTATAGCTTTGGATGGCAACTGGTCTAGGAGAAGGACAACTCTGAATTCAAAACCTGCGGAGGGTCGTTTGGGAACCTTGTGGCACTCGGTGCACCAGGTCACTGCATTCGTCCCTTCAAAAAGTGTGGATGGTCCTGCACGAGGCCTTCGCCACTATAAACAAATCTCATGTGCCGTTGTCGGTTTCCTGGAAACTGATCTGCTTGACCATCATACGTCGAATCTCGACGGGAGAGTCGATTATTATATATATATACTTGCCGAATTACCCGCGCCTTGCTACTAGTCACACTTTTTTTTTTTTGTAAGAAAATGATGCTTGATTTTAAATCATTGTTATAATTTGTGGCGAAAAATGCTTTTCAATATTACTTAATGATCTTGCCGAGGTGAGCTCCATCTTCTGGCTTTCTCCCTCCATATTTTGGACAGAAGTTATTCCGTTCTTCAAACTTTAATTTAATTTAAATCAAAAGGAAAAAAATTCAGTGGGGAGTTTGTGCAAAAACAGTTTGATTTGATACCTTTGATATGTATTTGATGCAATACTTGACTGAATAAATTGATGTGCAGATTTCGACATTGATATGACAGTCGAATTGTCTCAACAAATATGTATTGTAAAGCAATACCTACTGATTGGTGATTTCTTGCTAAAATTGACGTCCATATTGTCTCATTTTGATCTTGCCGAGGCGACCTCTATCTGCTGGCTTTCTCCTTCTATATTTTGGATAGGAGTCATTCCCTTGTTCAAATTTAAATTTAATTTGAATCAAAGGGAAAAAAGATTTCCAGTGGGGGATTGTACCCCCGAAGACCCCCTTTGATCAAAATGAAATATACTTATACAAGTACCCTGGGTAATGTAGTTTCAGTATATATATGGTTATAGGGGTCTATCTCCAAAACCTGAGGAGGAGTTCAATAACAAACAGACAGAGGCTACAACTCTATATATAGATTATCTATTTGATGTATGTATGTATGAATGAAGAAAATTTAAGATTATTTATTTCTTCATAGATTGATTTCTAGAGATATCAAGGTAAGTCACGAAAAAATGCAGAGTAATTTCACAAATAAATAAACCGGGCTCTCTCATTGTTCAAATTTGAAGAACTTTGGGTAATTACGTTATATATATATATATATATATATATATATATATATATATATATATATATATATATTCTAAATAAGTAATGTATTTTTTTTATTAATTCAACAGATTTATATCACTTTAAAGGTTATTTTGAATAGATGCTCATATTTAAGTGGACGCTCCATTTATTTATTTTAAAAAAAGTTTCGTTTACTGGCCTGAATATTCAAGAAATTTTGTTAAAGAAAAATATGCGCTCTTCGACAGGATAAATATTTTTGTTTTTAGACTACGGATATATATATATATTTATATATATATATATATATATATATATATATATATATATATATATATATATACTCTCTCGACGTATGAGGGTCAAGCAACTCACTTCCTTGCAACCGACAGCCAGACACCTGCACATATGATTTGATTATAGTGGTGAAAGGCTTTGTGCAGAACCAACTACACTTTTTAAAGAGCCGGATACAGAGACCCGGTACAACATGTGGTGCTCCAAGTTTCCAAAAACGACCCTCCGCAGGTTTTGAATTCAGAGTTGTCCTTCTGCTAGACCAGTTGCACCCAGTCTGTCCTGCTATTTAGCCATAGCTGCCGGGTAGAAGAAGAGGCTTAATATCTTACGCAAGAGTATTAGCACGTAAGTAAATGTAATGAATTCGACTGAAATTCGAACTCGGCTCTCCTAAATTCTGAACCATTTGCTTACAGTTCTTACACGGCCATTTTTTTATATGAGAAGAATTTTAATTTTTGTCTGACGGTGTGTTGAGCAGTTCCAAGACCAATAGCTTGCTTCTGTAATTATTTTTGTAGACTGTCAGGAATATCCAACAGTTTCCCTTTCTGTAGCTTTGTGGGTCTTCTACAACGTTTGGCAACGTCTACTGTTCCTGTTTCCGAAATATTGCGATATGGAGCAGGTGTATCTGAAAATTTGCAGTAAGAGGTTTTTGCTGATAAATTTATCAGCAAAACCCTCTTACTGCAAATTTGTGTACCTACCACCTTCTCAATATACGTGTTTGACACGTTTTTCAGTTGTTAAAAGCATATTAGGGTGAAATCTGAAAAAATAAATCTATAAAAGTGCAAAAGTAACTTTTCGATCGAACACCCTGTATATATATATATATATATATATATATATATATATATATATATATATATATATATATATATAACAAAATGGAAAAAGTGACGCATTCCGTACTTCAGGACTTCATCTGACTAAATTTGTTATGTGGGGTGCTGGGGATTTTAGATTTTTTTTTCATATATATATATCTAAAAATATATATTCTAAGGAATTCTAAAATCCTAGCAAATTACGTTCGTACACATGTGTAGTCGTACCAACATAAAAAATTTAGTTCGAAGAAGTCCTGAAGGACGAAACGCGTCACAAGTAATTTTTTCCACTTTATCATACAATTTCTCTAATACAATTCTTGATATATAAAAAATATATATCGTTATCTCATATACATATATATATATATACTTATACATATATATATATATATATATACATACATATATATATATATATATACATACATATATATATATATATATATATATATATATATATATATATATATATATATATATATACAGTAGATAATTTTGTATTATTTTATATCAACAAAGGGTATTTAGAAAAATAGTATGGCAAATTGTAAAAAAGTTTTTGTGGCGGCTTTCATCCGTTAGGATTTCATAAGACTGGGCTTTGTTGATGTTGGCATATCTACACATGCACACGAAACGAGAGACGCTGGTAGATTCAATTTGTCATATTATTTTTCTTAATATATATATATATATATATATATATATATATATATATAAATATATATATATATAGGAGTATATATATAAATGTGTGTATTTATATGTATGTGCAGGCGTGCATGTCGATGCATATGTATGTATATGCATTTTTTTCACATTTTTTCTTTTCACACCTTGAATGAAAATTGAGTAAAACGTATAGTGCGATATAAAAGCAACCACAACGCCCCCGCACTTGCACAAACACACCTGCACATTTCCTGAAATTTTATCAATATTATTTCCAATTTTCCGAGCTTTCTCTCTCGACACACACACTTAGACATGCTTGTGTGTCTGACATAAACCCCTTGATTTCGCACTGAAGCTGATAATCTGTACTAATCCTACACACTCAACAAATACGTGATTAAATCTTCATATCCAACCAAGCGAAGACAGCTAATTCTCACTGACAACATTTCCCTTTCATTATAATCATGCCTCATTAAAAAAAAAATCAGTCTATAGGAAGTTTTGATTTAGTATTTAAGACTCAATTATATGCCATCATACGGAGGTTGTTTAAAAAGAATTTCAGTGACTAATAAACACGGTTTGAAGGGAGTGTACGACAACTTTTCCCATTCGAAATGCAAGTTCTGTCGAGGATTTCAATAAAACGCGTGTTTCTCTTTCTACATCGATTTATTACAACTTCCGTCACCAGGTTTTGTCGATTGGTTCTTAGAGTTTTAAATGAAAATTGGTCAAACAATTTGGACAAATTAATAAACAACTGCATTAAAAATTGTAAAACCAAAATACCATATGATAGATAGATAGATAGATAGATAGATAGATAGATAGATAGATAGATAGGAACAGATTCCGATAGATAAATAGTTATGAACATATTACCATAGATAGAGAGAAAGATAGATAGACAGAGAGATATGAACACATTGAGATAGATAGATAGATAGATAGATAGATAGATAGATAGATAGATAGATAGATAGATAGATAGATAGATAGATAGATAGGAACAGATTGCGATAGATAGATAGTTATGAACATATTACCATAGATAGATAGAAAGATAGACAGATAGATATGAACACATTGCGATAGATAGATAGATAGATAGATAGATAGATAGATAGATAGATAGATAGATAGATAGGAACAGATTGCGATAGATAGATAGTTATGAACATATTACCATAGATAGATAGTGTGGGTAATAGAAAACAACACTGAATGATGACAGATTATCAATTTAGGCATGAAATGATAAAAAAAATATGGTCATTACCTTATTTTCTTAAACTGTTTTACGACGGCTTTCGAAATGTTTCTTCTTATAAAATAGATCGCTTCCCAAGTCTAAGCTAGATAGTAGTTGGGTAAAAGATTTTTCGAAAGAACTGATATTTTAGCGACTCTATGTTCTCCTTAACCTTGATGAGTACCTGTTGCACTAAAGAAACCCCATAAAAGGATGCAGGAGTCACCCTGTTTCACAAAAAAGGTAATATTCTTTTATAATGAACTCTATTCGTCATTGGTTATGGACTGAAAGTTCAATTTTGATTACGTTTGACCAAACAACTCTATACTAGTAAACATTCAACCTACATCAAACTTACTTTTTGGTTAACACACACACACACACACACACACACACACACACACACACACACACACACATATATATATATATATATATATATATATATATATATATATATATATGGTCTAATATAAGGAGGAGTCATTTTAGAATGATTATATAAGTTTTGTATTACTATTTCTATGGTTTATTTAACGGGAACATTAGTAAAGAGCTTTTTAATCATTTCACCCAAGCAAGACAATAAAGTCATTAAGACGCAAGTGGTTACTGAGAGTGAAAGAATATGAGAAAAAGAAAATCACTATTAAGTAGAGAGAACAATAAAACAACGAGAATTGACATTACATTTTACTTTTTGAAGTTCAAAGTTGACTGGAAATCAAGAAACCAGAAGAGTGTCCCACAAACGAGAAGTGCGAGAGAAGAAACTGTTAACATAGAACTTACGGTTGCATATAACAATTTCAACTGTAAAATGATGCGACTTAGATGCCAATCTAGTAATGCGCTTAAATTCATAAAGTCTAGATACAAAAGAAGAAAGCTCATCAGAAGAATTATTATGACCTTATAAGAAATTCACAGTAAAGCTACGTAATGGTGGTAGGAAAGTGACTGAAGCCGAGATACCAGGTCAGGACCGATAACATTGCAGATTCTTCTTCAAGAATTTCTAAATACTTAGCAGAAGCACCATACAAGATGTGGAAGCAATATCCAATGCATGGACAAATGGTAGACTCATAAATGTGGCAAGCAGATTCTGGCAAGAAAAAATGTCTAGCAAGACACAGTGAACCAACTTTCCAAGCAGCACACCTAGCAATAGATTCAATAGAATCTTTCCATTTCATGTCAGCGGAAAAGTCCGATAAGGTGCAAAGAGTCAGTCTTATTTCAACATTTTAAAATGTTACTAAAGTTCCTATTAAAGAAACCACAGAAAACAAAATTTATATAATTGTCCTAAGCTCACGCCTCCTAAGTTTAAACCAAATATTTTACGTAAACTCATACATATACTGGACTCTACCATAATTTTCGATGTATGAGGGTACGGTAACTCAGTTCTTAGAACAGAAGAGCCAAATTACTCGCATATATGATTTGGTTATAGTGGTAAATGCTGGCGCAAAGCCAATCACAATTTTTAGGAGAGTCGAATACAGAGAACGGGCACATAGTGTGCTACAAGATCTACAAATGATTCTCCTTAAAGTTATCCTTCTCCTAGACCGGTTGTCAGCCAAGGACATGTAGGACCGGGTCTGTCCAGCTATTCAACCCATAATTAGAGTGGGAAGAGATGGATTAGTACCTTTCCCCAAGCGTATTTGCACGTACATGAAGGCAAAGAACGACTAGAATTCGAACTCGGCTCTCCGATTCAATTCTACTCGATATCTATTATTCTAATATGTATGTATATGTGTGTGTATGTGTGTGTATATATGTGTGCATGTGTGTGTATGTGTGTATGTGTATGTGTGTGTATGTGTGTGCAAAATTTCAGATATAACTAAAATATATCTGTAAAAGGACAATATGAATAAAAACAAAAAGAAAAAATTTACCAATGCGTTTCGTCCACTGACGGACTTTATCAAGGCAAATGTAAGGATTTTTATTTTACAAAAATTTTATAATCAAAACTAAAAATGTTAGTTTTTCAAAATGTTTAAATTTATGAGACGCTCATAAATATTCATCAGGTTAACTGAAAAGTTTAGTAAATTATGGAAGATGCTAAGTGATGTAATTTAATCTAAGGAACGAAAGTGAGTAAATGATGTTGAATTTTTTTATGCAAATTAGATTTAAAATATTTTAGTTTGTAATAAATTGATGTATTATGTACTTTAAATAACTGAATGACTCTTCTCAAACCAACATACATGACTATAAAAAAATTTTTAAAATTAAAAGAAAACAGTTAAATTCATAACCTCTTACCATTTAAAATAAAAACTCTTCTTGAAAAAGATAAAATTGCTCTTGACTAACGGAGGTACATTGCGCACACAGATGAGTCATATTTCGAGCGTTGGCATGGAAACATGGCGGTGATGAAGTAGCTCGTTCAACGTTGTCTGCTTTTTGCCTTTAAGGTGGGTTTGTCCGCAGCCGCATCAAGTCGCCGAATACGTCAAGCCTTTGTGAATAATGCTGTGAGTAAACACATCGCCAGGCATTTGTTCCAGAAGTCCAAAGGCGCGAGATCTTCCCCTTTTGTGATGAACCCGCACAAGTGCTGGGTGATGAGTACCTAAAGTCGACCATAGAGGAGTGCAACAGCCAAACCTGTGATGAACTTGGCGAACGCTTCCAAGTTTCTGATGAAACAGTCGGAAGGTGTACAAGTTGAGCAAATGGGTACCCCACACACTGTCGGAAGACAACAAGCAACAACGAGAGACAGCCTGTTACTCGTTGTTTTCTCGGCACTGCAACGTACAAATATTTGATCGAGTGCGCACCAGGGACGGTTGGTCGTGTATGACACTCCCAATCGTGCCAGATATTAGTTGTCGCCACGGGACACTGTGCCTCACACCACAAGACCACCTCTACACCCACGCAAGAACATGCTCTGTACTTGGTGGACTAGTCGACAAGTGATGCACTATGAGGTTCTTTCAACGAGCTAAACCATCATTGCAGATCTGTATTCTCAGCAGTTGAAACGTGTGCAACAAGCACTGAAGAAGAAGGAGCCAGCATTGATTAAACGCAAGGGTGTACTGTTCCTCCAAGACAACGCCAAGCATCATGTGGTAGGGGTGGCCAGGGATTCCATACGGCGATTTGGCTGGGAGACACTGTGCCATTCACCTTACTCCCCGGGCCATGCGCCAACAGATTACGATTTCTTCCATTCCCTGGACAATCCTCTTCGCAAATGAGGCAGACTTGCGACAGGCACTCACAGATTTCTTTGCAATCCAAGACACCTGCTGGAGGCACATTGGCAAAAGTTTCTAGATGGCAATGGAAATTACTTTGAGAAATAACGGTATGTCAGATTTACTGTATGCATTTTTTTTCTAATAAATAAAAATGACAAGTACTTTTTGGTGACCTTGTATATACATATTGTGGTCACAGAGGTCAATATACACACACACACACACACACACACACATATATATATATATATATATATATACCAAGTATATAATTGGTGTATACGTAATGAATTCCAATAACCAAAAATTACTATTAAAAGAGCGCTCGTCACTTTTTTTGTGTGTATATATATCTAAATATGTCTGGATGCTTATGTATTATAATCTGATTGTGTTTGTGTTGTTTTACGCGTGATTTTACGACCCCATTCGCACACTTGGGATTAAAATGTATACATATATATTGTCGGAGGACCGGATGGAGTAACGTCTATTCTAACGTAATTTCAACGAAGAAATAAATTGAATAACATATGTATTTCCCCTTTTCTCCTCGGTAATTTTATAATTTTAAACTTAATAGTGATTAAATTTGGATTTTAAGATTGGCAGTTTTTAATTTTAATATCAAATTCTATCATATAATTTAATAATTATTGGTTAGAATAAATTCTTTTTTTTAATATTACCAGTATTTTAACGATCTGAATAGCTATTATAACATGACTTCGTTGTCAGGCTTTTTGAATTTTCCCTATACTTGTATTTTGATTGGTCATTCTAGCTTTTGGAACAATGTTTTCCCCTTGTGAAAGATCGTTAATTAATTTGAAACTTTTAAAACCATTTATTTTGCCTTCAACATCATCACTTGATAAGACACCGGGAGTGTTGAAACAAAATGGCTATTTTTGTAGTGATTTTATAACATGTTTATGTTATAAATTTTCTAAATAAATAATTATATATATATATATATATATATATATATATATATATATATATATATATATATAATCGTATCATCCGAAGCATGGCAGTACAGCCACTAGCACACAAGATGTTACAGATGGAATTAGGAGTAGAAACATTAGTAATGAGTAGAAAGAGAAAAGAGTAATCAGGAAGACAGTAGACAGCAATTGACATTGCATTTAAATTTTTACAGATTAAAGTTGGTTGGAAAGTATGGAGCCTGGACGGAGTTCCACAAGCGGGAAGTGCAGAATAAGAAACTCTTGGGATAAAAGCTCCAGCTACATCTAGCTAGCGGAACTGTAAAGCTGCGTCTCGTATACACGTGTTAGTTGTTGCTTTGAAATTTTCCATGCAACAAAAACAGACTATAATTATTGTTCCGTGTATTAGTTGATATATTGAAAAGTAATTGTCATCTTTGATAATGGCTTATGTAAGCCGAAAGCTTAGATTGGATTTAAACATGTATCAATATGGCGATTTCCTTTCGTCCTTCAATGATAATGTCATTAAGATTATCAGACAATATGAAAGCAACTTAAAATGAATAGACAACACTTGTCTATATGATTTAATGAAACATGCATCAATGAAAAATTGCTGCCTAAATATACACAATATATATATATATATATATATATAGTGTAACCCGGATATAAGAGAGTTGTCGGGACCGGAGAAGAAGTCTCTTATATCCGGGTTTCTCTTATATCCGGGTTTGGTCTATTTTATATCC